GCTTGTCGCACAACAATGGAGAACGACTCCCCCAGTACTGTGCTGATCATGAACAGTTTCTGGCCGGCACGAACATTCAGCATAAAGTTTCAGGTCACGTAACCTGGCGGCCACCAGCTGAAAATCAACCGTGAGTCCAGTTGGATCAGGTTGCCATCCGCCAGCGGTGGAGAGCTAGGGTTCAACACTGCCGTTCCTTCTGGAGCACATATCTTGATTCCGATCCCGTCATGGTTTCCCCTCAGGCCCTCGTAAGTCAGCAAGAAGCATGCCAGTCCACCATCGTTGAAGACCTACGGTAGCTCAACATTATCGATCTGGGCCAGACCAACAACTCTTCACAGCTAAAAATACTGTAGTGTTAGTGAGCATGTGAATGAAGCATGGCAGAATGTAAAAGGAACTATGCTCGAGGCGCTCAGTTCTGTCCGTCCAACTTCTCCGATACGATCAAATGACCACTGGATATCGTCGAGATCGCTAGTCGCGATTAACACTAGGAAATCCATACCAGCAGGTGACGAGTACGACGGTGCGCGCAAATCCCCCAAACGCTAAATAGTGAAGAGCCTAAGGAAAGACCGAGAGGTCTGGTGAACAAAGAAAACTCGGAAGATGGAGGCTACTGCTACTGTAAGCAACTGTGCCCTATATCAACTGACACGATAGACTGGGTCTAGGAAAGCAGCGGCCAGTGAAGCGATAATAGAAAAAGGCAGCTCATTGATTCACTCGCAAAAACGTCGATTGGAAAGACGGGTGGAACACTTTGAAGATCAGTTTAGCTGGCCTCCTGCAACACAACCTATGGAGATAGTGTATACTGGCGAATGGAATGTAAACCTTGACTGCTCATTGGAAGAAGAAGTATGAAATATCCGTACTGAAATGTGAGAAGGCACCAGGGCCGAACAGTCTGTAGGCAGATCTATTTAAAGATGAAGAATCCTTGATGACCCAACTAACGAAGCTAATTGTTGCGATATGCATCAAAGAAAAAAGAAAAAAAGTGCAGAATGGGGCATATCGACAGTTATTCCCATCTTCAGACAGGATACCCGGACGTTGTGTGAAGACCACCGTGGCATCATCCTAGCAGCTGTGCATCGAAGGTGCTCTCTGGTCTTATCCTTCGAAGCTTGACTGAATACAAGGAGAGGCTGACACGTGACAACCAAGCTCAGTTCCGTCCTGCGAGAGGATGTGTCGACCACATCTTCACCGTCCGACAGATCCTGAAACGACGACACTGCTTCCAGAGACCAACAATGGTTGGGTTCCTTGACCTGAAAGCTGTCTTTGGCTCTGTGGACCGTCCGGCACTATGATAGTGTCAGCGAAGCAAAGGTGTCCCCCATAAATTCCTGACTCCCCTTAAGGCGCTGTACGCCAACTCCCGCAGACTTGTGAAGGTCTTTGGGAAGCTCTCGCCTGAGTTCACCACATCAGATGGTGTTAAGCAGGACTGTCTTCTTTCCCCTTTCCGCTTAAAGTTCATTACTGAACCGAGTATGGAAGACTTACTATCAGCCTCCAATACCTGTGAGGTCGAAGTTGCTCGGGGCGTTCGCACACAGATATCGAGTACACAGATGACATAGCTCTTCTCGGATCTGACGCCGTAGTAATGTAGAAAATGTCAAATAATCTAGATGATTCTGCCTCACTGTTCAGCCTACGCTTCACACTTGCAAGGGGTAAAGTCCTACTGCCAGAATGGGTTGGCTGGACACCTAACCTCGTGTTTGCTGATGAGTCGATTGAGGTAGTAGACAAATTTGTCTACCCGGGCATCTGTATCAGTCCCGGTTATCTCATCGAAGGGGTATTTGCATCGGTGTTCGGAAGGCATGAGCAGCTTTGATGGACGTGCAACATCTGTGGCGTCGGTATACTGTCAGTTTATTCGTCAAGGGTCTGGTTGCAGGTAGAACCGCTGTACGGCAAGCACGCTGTTCATACAACTGATAATGATGATGGCAGCGTACAAACTGGTGTTCAGCATCTGTCATACAAATACGTTCAGGTGTAGCACCCTTCCGGTGTCCAGCTGACATGGCACCCGATGGAAGCACAAGGGTTGGGATACTGCCAGGTTGCCCAAGCCTCAACAGACAGAGGTCGGGTTCGAACCACGGATCTTCCGGTCAGTAAATTCGCGTTCTAACCACTCGGGCCATCTCGCCCCATCTTTCATACAAATGTTTGTGCTCAACTCATCTTCGTAAGTCAGATCATGGATCGAGGCGATGCGGATAGAGTCACTAAAGAAAAAACATTATACTAGACAACTACGAATACATTTGTGGCAAAATGCGCTTCAAGCGTATGTCCACGAGGGGTAGACTTTACTTTTCAGAAGTTTATCAACTAACGAAGTGACTGTGAGGCTGCTATATCTGAAGTGAAATAGATCGTAAGAAATGAAGGAGAAATCGAATCGAAGTACAGTGGTTTGAAGTAATGTACCTGCACCAAACAGCGGATCGGATCATCTAGATTATGCTGTGTAATGATGCCTTACGTAGAGTTAGAAACCTGATAAGAATATCAAACTGGCTAAGTAACGGACCTACGAGGCGAAGCTTCGTTACTCAGACTTATCGGTCATCCACTCTGGGCTGAATCTATCAGCTGCTATCTATAGCATAGCAATACTAAGATATGGCTGCTTGAAGTGCTGCACGAAGCTACTCCATGTCATACCTGGCTGAATGTTCAAAATATACAATCTTATTATTGATTACGACATTTTTTGGCACAGAACTGCTGTGCAACCATAGAAAGCATGAGAACTGAATTACCATCTGGTTACCTGAACTGACAAAAAATAACATATGTCAGGAGCCACGGCGTCCTGGGAAC